GCTTTTGGAACAAATCAGGCATCAGCAACTGGACGTTTACTTCGGGCCAAATATACATTTTTGTGTATATAAAGAGAAATAATCAACCAATTTCATTGAAATTTAACATTTGAATTCCTCGAATTAAAACAATGAACATGTAAATTTTTCGGAAAGATCAGGCATCGGCAACCAGACGTTTACTACGGGCCAAATATACATTTTCGTGTATATAAAGAGAAATAATCAACCGATTTCATTGATATTTAATATGTGAATTCCTCGTGTTAAAACAATGAACATATAAATTTTTTGGAAAGATCAGGGCTCGAAAACTGATTTGCGGGCCGATTTTACATTTTTCACCATATCTACGGAACGAATTGATGAAATTTCTTGAAATTTGATATTTGAGTTCTGGTTGTTGCCGAAACTAACTGGCGAGCATTTCAGGGAATTCGGGTAGCATAAAGCGAAACTCTACTAAGAGCCAAATTTACATTTTTCTAGGTATGTTAACTATAAGCTTACTAATGTCCTCAAAATTGGAAAGAAGTATTTAACAGACATTTTTATAATATTTTGTAACACTTTCACTTAACTAGACAATACACATTGCGGTCGGTTATGTGCTGACCACATCAGATTTTTTTTTTTAATCTTTTGCAAAGTTTTGTGAAAATTTTTAAAAAATTTTGTTTAATTTTGTTTAGAAAATTTTAAATATAAAATATACAAAATTATACCTTATGCACTTAAAAATGGTTTTCAATTACTATTTAAATAATATTATAGATAGCAAGTTTAAATGGTAGTATTAATATATAATAGTAATAGAGGAATTTTATTTCTCTTTAACGTAAAATTATACATATTTATAAAGAAAATATGTATAATTAGAAGATATACATAAAGAAAATCTTCGAACTCGACAACTTTTCTTTGGACACGAGTTTAATGATTCGTATATACACAAAAATATAGAAGTTGTGTTAATCAGATATGCGTTTTATTAAGCACTTAAATTTTCTTCCCCATCAAACTAATTTAATATTATTCGTGGAAAAAAATAAGTGCTTCAGTTATTTTAATAACAGGAAAATTATACATATATAATATGCATATGAAATTTTTTTCCCAATTCTCTTATTGGCACAAAATAACAATTTTTAGAGGCTAAAATAATTTAGCGTTACTACTGTATATATATATATATATATATGTATATTCAAAAAGTTCGCGACAATTTTTCGAAAACTTTTATCTTTTAAGATATAATAAAAAACTTTAATCGTTTTTTTAAAATTATTTATATGAATGTTAATTTTTATTTAAAAATCACAAATAAATTAAATATGAAATGGAAATTTCATTCATTTAGATCGGAATTTTCAAATAAAATTTAAAATAGTTTTAAAAAATGTCCTTGTTAATAAACAGAATTTCCTTTCTATATCCTTTTATTTAAAAAGTATTTAATTAAAAACTTATATGTTTCTATCCCTACAATATTTTAATGACATTATAATATACATATAAAATTATAAAAGCATAACATGTTATACAAATACTTGTTATATAATTGTATAATTTATATACATACTTACATACAAACATATTCAAATATCTCCACAAAAAAGAATACGGTTTATATTATTACATTTGTAATGTTATAATTGGAACATTAAAATATACGGTATCTAGACAGTCGAATATTAAAACATTTTTGGGATTTTAGTTGCTCATATTGTATAATGTTCGGATTACATTACAAGATGAACATTTAAGAAAGAAGGAAAGTAAAAATGAAAAACATAATTTTTTTTGTGTTTTCATTTTTTTTTTTCATTTTAGAGGTTCATAAAATATTGAGGGATTTTAATGATTAGTTATTCACCATAAATGAATATATAGCGAATACACACATACACATAATTGTTATATGTATGTGTGGGTAGAAATGTTCATATAATTATAAATTAAACAATGAAAACATTCTATATAATTAACAATAAAAGGGATATAAAATAACATATAAAGATAAAATATAATATTTGAAAGATGTTAACATGAAACTTTTTGGTTTTATTAATGATTCATTCAAGACATTAATTTAAGAGCGATTAGCGTTTAAGTTTACATAATATAATATCTGAGTAATGTAATATTAAATTCATTATTCGGTAAAACATTTTAAAAAGAACACTAGCATATTTTTTATGTTTAAATTGATGTATTTTTTACCACAAAACTAATTTGGGAATAAAGATAGAAATATTTTTTAAAATATAAAAAAAATGCCAATATTTAACAACAAAGTCAATTTTTAACATATTCCAAATGAAATTTGAATGAGATTATTTTGTTAGTTTTACTCTATCTTTCCGTTTTTGCTACACAATTTAAGAGTTCAGGCAAACATGCCATTTTTATCGACCACATTGTGAATACAATAAGGTAGGTTATGTAATGGCAACAAATTTTGCATATCGAGTATGGGAACGCACTTCTCTATGGGAAAGATCATTGTTTGGATTCTGATCTGTGAGCGGATTTTACATTTTTTACCATATCTACAAAACAAATTGATGTAATTTCTTGAAATTTAATATTTGAACTCTGGTGGTTACCAGAAGTTACTAACGAACTTTTCGTATAATTTGAACGGCACATAACGAAACTCTACTAAGAGCCAAATTCACATTTTTCTAAGTATAAAAGCTTATAAGTGTCCTTAAAATTGTACGCAAGTGGTTAAACGCATTTTCTGCATAACCTTCTGGAATACTTTTACTAATCTAGACAATATATATTGCAGTCGGTCATGTGCGTATCACATCAGATTTTTTGTTTTGCAATTACTGCTTGATTGTAAAATCGTTACGTATACATCTAAACAACTAAACTGTTGCGTCAATGTAAATCGATTGCGTTAACTAAAAATTGTATTCAATTTATAAAAATTTACAAAAATTGTTTGATTCTTTAATAGCATATATGCGCATTTAAATTAAAACCTATGAAATACAAATAAGCATTTAAACAGTTGCAACTAGAAATTGCATGTCTGCTTCCACCCTTAATGTCTCTTTCAATTTTGGTTATTATTCAAATCTACCATCGTATTTTCCAGTTCGATTTACGAATAAATTTTGGGTGTAAATGTAAAAAATTAAACTCAAACCTGCACCTAAAATAAAGAAATAAAAGACAATGGTAATTAATTTTTTTATAACCTTTTTTATTACAGATCACAGCAAATAATTTTATAGCAGAAAAAACAACACTGATTTTTTGAATTTTTATTAAATTTAAATTTTAAAAACAAAAAAAAAAAAAATTAAATATTTTAAATTTTCATTTTTTATCCTTTTTTTTATTTTATTTGTTTTTCTTTTTTATGATATTAAACCGAGATAATTTGGCAAAATAATTCGATTGAATATAATTATGTATGTATAAATTAATATATTATAATAATTATGTAGAGAAGAATATATAATGAGGCTAACCAATTAGATAATATGAAATCAAATTAACCAAAAAGTGAAATGCAATCAAATTTTTAATATAATATAAAAAAAAAATAAAGTTGTATAATATTAAAAATATTTCATTAAACCTTTTAAAGACTTTTTTTAGCACATTCAATTTACATTATTCAATATTCGAGTGTTTTGATACGAAATCCAGTAAACTGCTTCCAGGGACAAAATATTAATCAAATTTATTTGTAATTGTAAACCTTCGTCTTTATGAATATTTTCCAATATTGTGTTACTATTATAATAATTATACCACAATATTAAATTCGAAATTATTCATAATTGTAATTCCAAAAACTACATAATGCATTTTAATCAATTTGATTTAGATTTTATGTAATCACATGGATTCAAAATTAAATTGCCTATTATGCAGTTTAAAAATTTATTTATTATGACTTCGATGCTTTTATTAATTTTAAAATTTTTTTGTAAATTTAAATCTTGACTTATCTTTAGTGGCGAAAATCAAATGCTACTTAAAGCAATGATTGGAGAATCCAACATTCATTCAATTTATTCAACTGACAAAATGAAATGTTTACCGACAATACTAGTTGATTTTCTAACTTTTTACAAATTGCAGCACTACAGCTGCTAGGAAATTTCGAATAATTGCTGTTTAGAATTGACAAGCTCATAAATTTTAAATGAGTTGAAAGATAAATTGAATATGCTTAGCCCATTTTATCATTTATTTCCTCCGCGTTTTTGTGTATTTTTTTTTTTTGTTTTTGTTTTAATTTCTCATTTAAATTAAAATTTCTACAGTTATATAAGCTTGACACCTTGTTTCACGTTTTTTTTGTTTATTTTTATGTTATTTGATTCTTTTTGTGTTTTTGTTTTTGTTTTTTTTTCTTTTTATATATTAAATCTTCTTACCTTTCTAATTAATTATTTTATTTTTGTTTTTTTTTTTTTCATTATTGATAAAAAATCATGCATATATAATTACGTAGCTCAAAAAAAGAAAAAAGAAACAAAAAAAAAGAAAAAAAAACATAAATGAAACAATTTTTTTTTTTTAATTATTTTTTAACCTTTATATAATTATTAAATTTTATTTAATTAACAGAAATTCATGTTAATTATAATTTTTTTAATATTTTACAAAATAGTTCATTGTTTTTTTTTTATTTATTTAATTTATTTATTTTATATTTTAAATATGTATTAAATTTTTTACACAATTTTTTTTCTGTAATTTTTTTTTTTATTTTTATTTAATTATTAATATTTAATAGTTATCCTTAATTTCCAATTACCTAAAAATTTAGGAAGTATTTTTGTATTTTTTTTTTTTAATTCTAGAAATATTTTAACAGTTTTTTTTTTTTGTATTTTTTTATGAATTTATCTTTTTTTTTTTTTAAATATTATATAAATTTTATTTTTGTATTTTTTTTTTTAATTTTTCATTAATATTATATATACAATTTTCTTTTTTGGTTTTATGTTTAAAAATTTACTTAAAAATTAGTTATACATATAGTTTTCATAATGTACACAAGATAATATATTAAATATATTATTTAATATGTTCATTATTATATATTTATTGCATTATATAAACTAAGTTTATATAAATAAAATTAAAAAAAAATATTATTTGTATGTATTATAAAATAAATTTTTAATTACAAAGTTTTTATAAAATTTTACCACTTTAGATTTGTTGCTTTATTTAATACTTGATAATATTATTAAATATGCAAAGAAATAAAATAAATAGAATACATAAAATATGAAACTACACGAAGATAAGGAGTAAATTTGAGATAAATATTAGTTAAACAAATTACAATTGATTTATTTATATGCGTTTAGCAACACAATTCTTCAAATAATTGAAACTGTCTCTAGACTAACATTACAAGCATAATGGAAGGCCTTTATGGGCACACAAGAATGTGTATTCGTAATTGCTGATCTAAATACCGAATTCCAAATGTATACAAGTGGTTAGAGTTTTTTATTTTGAAGATTAAATCTATAAAGAAGCAGCATACAAAAAAATTACCCTTTAAAAACGAAACATAATTTCTTCAAAGATATTTTTAAAAAATTAAAATTTAAAATTGCTTTAACAGAATCATTATACATGTATACAATTATCTGTTAATATTGCGGATAATCCATAACAATTGGGATATACCAATTCAATAAACCTTTTTATATTATAAAAAAGAAAATATAAATATTTCAGAAGTTTTAAGAATACTCAAAATTCATAAAAATTTTATTTCATATGTAAATAATTAAATTTACATAATATTTTATTTTTCAATTGCATGTTGACATTATTTAATTCTTTAAATTGAAATAGTTTCGAAATTTTAGACAGAGAAGAAGAATATGTATGAAAAACGTACTATGGTTACCTTTAATTGTATAAAAGAATTATTAAAATTACATACGTGTTACATTGTATTATTTGTAATTTTAAATTTATATAAGTTTAATGAAATTGGCAAGTGGCACACGTACAAAGTAATAAACTTTTATGAATTTCAATGAATCTTATTTTTTTTTCTTTTCTCATTATTTAAATATAATTAATTTTAATAATATTTATGTATTTTTATACATTTAAAATTTATTCGAAAAGAAATAATATTATTGAATTAATTATTATTCAATATGATCAAAATTTTAATATGAATATGAATATTATTGTATAACACTATTTTACATACATATTTAAATTCAATTTGAATAACAGTTCAAAACATAAAAGTATGTATATGTATACAGTAGTGAATATTCAATAAAATTCATTTCATGAATGAATTTAATTTGGAAAATAACCTTTAATTTTATTTAAAATAAAAAAGAAGCTATTTTACATGATACCATAATATTTTAAACATAGGAATTAAATCCAAAAAAATTGATGTTATACAAATGGTCTGTAAAAGGAATTTTTTTTTTGTTTGTTATTGAATGCTGAGTTTTTTAAATTAATTTTATTATAAATTATATTATAAATTTAAATTGTAATTACAAATTGTATTAATTATAATAACAATATAGTTAAGGTAGGCTCGTCACCTACCTAGTATACTCAATGACGTAAGAAACTGGTGTTCATGGTTATCTACAATAACATGGCCCAGCCTTATGTTCTTCCAAGGAGCGAAGTAGAATTAAAAAAAAAATAGTAACAACATAAATCTGGTATCAATGTAATACTAAAACTTTTCATACAAATTAAATCAAAATATATTGTTTAAATCGATGTGCCTCAAATCTTTTAGAAATCTCGGAATAGAGTTTTGTTTTGTATTATTTAGAGTGCAATATTTATTGCTATTTATCAATATTCCATACTTCTTGTGGCGAAATTTTGAAATTCTAAAATCTTACAAAACTTAGATCAGCAATTATAAATGAATAATTTAATAATTTTTTTTAAATAATTTCATTTTCTTTAAATTACTTTCAATCATCTTTATTTTTTTGAATTATTTTAAGTTTGAAATTTGCCAAAATATTGTTTTGAATTTATTTTTATTCCTAGATATATGCAATTTTTTGATTTACTTAATAAAAATTTTGTTTCTCTCATTTATTTTATAGTACACACAAATAATTATAAAAAAAAAAACAAAATAAAATAAAATAAATGATAACTGAAAACAATATTTATATTTTTTATTATATTTTTATTTATTTACATACAAATATATTTCATATAATGTGTATATACATACATATATTTTACAAGTTTAAAAAGAATTTATTACAATTGTTTTTTTTTTCGTACCTTCTTATCCTTTTTAGCAATTTTACGAATATGCTTTTTTTTTCATTAAAATCTGAACATAAAAAAAAAAATAATTAAGAAAATTATTTTGACATTTGACATATTATACATAAGAGTATATGTATGCATTTGTGTTTGTGTACAATTTAATTGATTTTATTGGATTTGTGTTTTATTTGACAATAATATTGAGATTCCCGAAAACATGTCTTACGGACAACAACAAACAATAAAACGAAAATTTTAAAAACAATTTTGGTTTTGGTATTTTTTTTTTTTTTTTTTGAGCAGTAGAAAAGATTTTATTGAGCAGCCAGCTGTCTTCTGAATGGTAGTTTTGATATTGTGATGTTTTGACTAAATTTTGTATGATCAACATGTTTGATTCTATTGCATTTGTGATGTTATTCGGATGTGTTGAAAAGATTTGTGTTGGTTGTTTTGTTAATTTCAATTTAGTTTTTTTTTTTTTTTGTATACTGTTGATGTTGAATCCATTCTTTTATTATCTTATTTATTTTTTTTCATTTTTATTTGTATAAAAATATTTATTACAATAATTATTGTATATAAATGTGTGTGAAATGATTTTCATTAATAATCACTTGGTTTTCATTTTTAAATAGATGTGTATGTTTTTTTTTTTAATTTTTTTTTTAATTATGATTGTGTAAAGTAAATAATATGTTGTAGGTGTATATGTGGTATATGCGATGGTTTATGGTATGATTAAAAATTTTTTATACGCATTCTGTTCCTGTTTTTGTGAGCGGCTCTATTGTCTGAAATTTGAAAGAAAAAATATAATATTTTAATATATTTTTTTTTTAAATTGGTATACATATACTATGCTTATATTTCAATTCTGTTATGAAAATCAATATAATATAATTATCATAAAATATTTTGTGGACTTAATTAAGATAATTTTACAAATTTAAACTATTTGCTTTTGAGTGCGATACATGTCAAAATTCATAGTAATTATAATTTTTAATACTTAATTAATATCTTATGTGATTCGCTTTACAATACAAGTGGTTTAAAATAAGTGTTCGTGTTTTCAAAGTTCTTTGTCTCTAGTAAGAATCTTGTATTATAATCGTAAAATATCGTAAAAATCTAATGTTTTATTGGAAGTAGAATATTTTTTATTGTTATTTATATTATAGAGTTCAGACTGTTTGCAAGGAGTTTTGAAAACCTGATCATTTCTATTTAAAAAATTTTATTAAAGGCACAAATGATTTTGTATGAATTGTCTTGTGTTCTACAGTAATAACATTTAACCTCATTTATGAAATAATATTCACAAAAAATTTAAGATTTTAACTAACTTTTATATGAAAAACGATAAACATTGAAAAAAATTCGTATATAATTTGTACATACAAATAAAGATCCATTTTGAAACGAAACAAAATTTTGTAAAACTTTATGTTGTATGAAAGGCTATTAATTTTAATTCATTTAATTTTCGCATTCTCTAGATCAGTATTACAACAATATTACCTCTGAGAATTACTAGTCAAATTATCCATCGTATTTTTTTTTTTTGTTTTTTCTTAAATAAAATATTCATATTTTGGGAATTTTTATATTTTATGCGTGTCTACAGAATAAATTTTTTTTTATTATTAACTTTTAAGCACATATGTGAAAGTACAAATTCATTGATTAAAAAAAGTTTCCATCTGTTGGAAAATTTCATGTTGAAGAGAATGACAATTGTAACTTTAAATATAATTTTATAATTTTGAAATAGAAATTTGCAACATTTTCAGAAATAAAGCATGACGCTGTAAATGTGAGGTTTTATCAAGTTTAATTTAAATTTGTTTCTAAAATTAGTATGAAAAGAACAAAATACTGTCCATTTACTTATGTTTTTTTAAGCCTACTTCGCTCCTGGAAGGAAAATAGAGCTGGCGCATAATATTATAGATACCCACAAAACGAGTTTCTTGTAGTATATGTAATTATAGTTATATGTAATTCATTTAAATGAATATAACCTTTGTGCACATAATTACAAACTCTAATAGAAAATGTCTATAATAAAAATTTCTTAGATTGCTGATAGTACTAAACGTTTATTTAAATCCAATTTAACAAAAAATTTGGCAACCTTGTTATGGATGCGTTTTTATATGAAATATAGATGAATATAAAAAATAACAAAACATATGCACTCTGTACGGGCTATCATTTTGTTGAGCTCATTTTGAGAAATTTTTCGAAATAAATAAAATAAAATTAAAATTATTGTTTCAATTTAGAACATCAAATTCCCTTGATCATTTTCGACATAACTCTTCAAAATATCTCAGTTGATGTAGATTTAAAAATGTCGGACTATTATTTTTTGTATATTATTATAAACAGGGTGTTACATAACATATAAACTAAAATCATTAGAATAGGGTAATTTCAAATTAATTTTTATTGAACACTTTTGATTTAATTTTAGAATAATAAGGAATTAAATTAAAAATTTTTAATATTAATCAAATTACAAAAATTAATTGAAAAAATAAATATTAATTAAACAGAAGTGTCGTCTTTATTTCTTTAACGAATTACTAAATTTTATTATTCTTTTTATATGAATAGATTTTTTTAGTATCTACTTAATATTAAAGAGTACAAAGTTTTGATTTGGCACAACTTGTATGGTTATAAGTAAGAATGTATGGAAATATACATTGTATAATCATACACGAATATGTGTGTGTATGATATATGTACTCAATATTACAAAAAAACAAAACAAATAAATTTCTTTTAAGATTTGACAAGAATACAATATTTTTCAAATTATACATACATCGTATGTACTTTTGTATATATGTATATTGGTTTCTGTTTTTGCTAATGTTATTATACATCATTTGGAATGGTTTCATGAAAAACCCCCCCTTAATAGAAAATTTCCTTTTTTTTTGGCTATTTTTTATTTTTTCTTCATTTTTATAGCCAGTTTTGTTATGTTTTTTTTCTCTCCTTTCATTTATGCGATTTTTCCTTTTATTTTGAATTATGTCTGGAAATTTGGTTTGGTATTTCATAGAATCATCATCATCAGTTAACTTGACTTAATATAAGTTTAACAACAAACAAGAAAAAAAGCTTATAACAACGCTATGTCAAAAAAAATAAGTATAAAGAAAATTTTTATATAAACGTGTAGTCATGAGAACTTTGAAGAAAAAACAGAGGCAATGTAGAATGAAATTCTCACCATCTCTTATTTAATATTGCCATCATAGATACGCAACAAATTCAAATTGCGAATTTCATCCTTCATGAATATAAAACAAAATATACAACCAAGAAAATAAAAATCATAAGAAATAGAATAAAAAAAAAAGAAAAAACAAAATGTTTTTACTAATGAAATTTTATGACTTTTGGTATTGGGATTTGAGTGGTTTATTTATACCCTGTCAGATGGCAATATATATACATACTAAAAATTCATATAATAGAAATATATAATTTATATAATAAATTACATGCATGTATGTATATATATACATACGTATTGTGCTTAAAAAAAAAAGGAAGAAAAATCGCAATAATATAAATTAGTTTCAGGAGGTTCATTTTCATTTTCTATATACATACATACATGTACTTATATGTTTTGGATACATAAACGCATCTACATATATACATATATAATTTAACTCTATTTATATACTTGCAGGAATGGTTACAGTGTTTGTTATAACTATATTGAATCCTCAAATTTACGAGTGAAATAAATATAAAAAATAAAATAAATAAAATAAAAAAAATCTAATAAAACAAAAGTGAGAAATGACAATTCATGTTTTTTTTTCTCCTTTTCTCCTTTCTTGCCCCTTTTTTTCCGAAGGAAATTAGTTAAGAATGATTTAAGATGTCAATATTAAAATAAATTTATGGCAGAAAACTCACCAACAACTTAATAAATGAATATATACAAAATATTATTATTTTCTTTTCTCTTTTTTTTGTTTTTTTTGGAAATACAAGAAGTACCTAAATTTCGAAATATAAATTACTTTTCTTTTTTACCTAAACTTATATAGTGTTAATATAAAGTCCCTAGTCAATTTAATTGCCATGTTGTTAATAAAATATATCAAGGTAATTAATAAATTCAAAGATTTTCTATATTTAACAATGTGTTCAATGAATAAGAAAAATTACATAAACTTAATAGACGCGTATGTTGGTATATATAAACTATACATACATAAATTTAATACTATAATATACGCGATGAACATGAATATTGCATACTTTAGGGCGATGTAATTTCTAATATTATCCGTTTTTTAATAATATTATCTTTAAATTATTAAAATTTTATATTCTAAAATTTTTGACTATGTACACATTATTCTTGCGTGTATATCTTTAGCATTTGAATCGGCTTTTAAAGTTTTGTCTTAATCAGAAAAAAAACCGAACATGTACCCACTCAAATCTTCAATTCTAACTTAATATTACATAATAAAATTTATTTATAACCTATACATATTTGCTTTAATTATTAAGTACTTGAATTAAAAATGCTATACTATTAATTTATTTATTATGTAATTAAAAATAATTTTGTTAGAAGAGAAATATATACACATATACTTACCATTGAAAATAAATCTATGAATTTTTTAAAAGGATATTTCTTTACCATTAGTATGTTAAATTATATAAAAGCTCGCAGCGTGTAAGTAAAATAGATTTTTTTTTTTGTCATATGTTAGCAATAATATTTTTAATAAAATTCTATGTTAAGCATTTTAATTTAATTAATTGTTAATTATACATATATATATTTTTATAAATAAAAAATTTATTTTAATTTTATTAAAAATTAATGATTATAAAATAAAATTGTTTTATTTTTTACTTTTTTTTTAATAAAGCTTTAATTGCAAATCCATCATTACCATTACAAAATGAGGCATAAAAAAAATTAAAAATTAGAATAAAGAAAAAATAATAAATTCACAAAAATTAAATTATAAGGATCTCTTGTGCCAAATAAAACGAATATAATGTTTTATGTATTTCAAAGGAGAAATTCCTTTGTTGTCTTAATTTTTTTTTTGTTTTTTTTTCGATTCCCTTATATTTTCTTTGTGTTTTTTGTTCGCTGATATAAAAATTAAAACGATATAATAAATAATTTTAATCTTTGGCCCTTATTTTAAAATTTTTATCTTTTTATTAATATTAACTTGAATTATGTATAAAAATTTTATTTTTATTGAAATTCTAGAAGAAAAATGCATCAGTTGCAGTTAATATTGTAGAAAATTATAAAATATATTATTAAGCTATCGTAATAATTGAAATGAATTTTTAATACCTTTTACCGATATTTGTAGATTTAAAAAGAGAGATTAGCAGGAGCACTTTTCGATCAAACTCATTTGGTCTGATCATATTGAAAAATGAGTATGTAATTTAATAATTGTTATTGACGTGAGAACATGAAATTATTTTAGTACGGATATTGTAATATCAGAAACTAGTTTATATAAAAAATTTTTTTATAGAATTTATTTCTGTCGAAAATTTTTTGATACAAATATTTTTAATGTAGATATAAAACATTTATGACATGAAATTATTCCAATACGATTAATGATGAATGTTTATGAACTTGTTTTTACGTTTGCTATACAACGAAGTGATTTTGTTCGAAATTTTTTGAATAATAATTATTAATTATTAAAAATTCACATACATAATTCAAGTTTTTACTCATATTTTTGTATTATTTTTTGTTAATTTATATTTTATATGTAAATATTTTGTAATATTAAATAATTTTTATAACTATTTACTTATATATTATTTAAATTATTTTTATAAATTAAGGTATTTTAAAATGAATTTTAATTTTTTTACTCTTGTTTCATTTTTTTTTTTTTTGTCTTCTTTTTTTTTTCAATTATTCACTTGTTTAATAAGTAAATTATTTATTTTAAAGTATTCTTATACGTAGTAAAATTATTATTAAATTTTTTTTTAATATTTTTGTAGCCTATGTTAAAAATTATGTTTTTTTTTGTTTTTTGGAATTTCCATATATCAATTTAATTTAATTTAATAATTATTAAATTTCTAATTAATTATATTTAGTTTAATTTATTTTTAAACAATGAATTATAATTAATATTCAATTTTCATTTTTTTTCTATATTATAATTAATTATCTGTTTTCTTTGTTTTGTTTTTTTTTTTTTTTAAATTCTATATTTATACTTTCTATATATAGTTATTATTTTTAAATTTAATTAATAAATATTTGTGGTTTGTTTTTATTTTAATTTTAATTTTTATTACAAATAAAATATTTTATTTTATTAATTTAATACTGTGCAAAAAGTCTTCTCTGTGATGAATGTCGCATTAGCTAAAAAACAAATAACAAACGTTAAAAAATAAATTGAAAACTCGGAACTATTTTAATTATTTTTAATTTGTTTTTTGACTTTTTGAAAACTTTATTTAATCGATTAAAATTTTTTTTTTTAATTAGTTCGCTGATAAGTTGAAAATGGTTGATTTTTTTTTAAATTTTTTTTGTTTTTTTTTTTTTTTCGTAAAATTCTAGGATCAATTTCGAATTTTGGTTTGTTTTTTTAAATTTTTGTAATTAAAATTTATTTACATATTAAGTGGGTTTGATTTTTTCATTAAATTTCTCTTTTTCTTTATTAAATTTTATTATTTCTTTTGTTTTTTTTTTTTTTTTGAGGGGATATACATATTTTTTATATACATCTATTAATTTTTTTTTATATAGGTTTTTTGTTTAATTAATACGAATTCGCGATTAGTCTTTGTTTTCTTAATTATAAAATAAAAATATTCTAATTTAACTTAAATGTTATAAAACATAAAATTAAATTTAATAATGCAATTTCTTATAATTATAATTATTATTATATAAGTAGCATTAAATTAATTTTTTGTTATTGTGTTAGTACAATAATTAATATACATTCAATACATAATAATTATATAAGGATAATTTATGAATAAACTTTTATTAATTATGACTAATTTTAATTATATATGTAATATATATGTAAAATTATACATAAATATGAAATAAAAATTTTTTCCAAAAAAAAAAAGAAAAAATAATAATAAAAAAGGACTAATTTAATTATAATTAAAAAAAATATATTTTCAGCTATTTAATTTTATTAAAATTATTTTCTAATAAAATAATAAAATCAATTAATTTTATTAATTGTACTGACTAGACTAATAAAAAATAATAGGTTTTCTTTTGTTAGCTTATTTTAATAATTTTTTCATATTTTTGCAATAATTTTTTAAATAAATATAAATTTTTCTTTTAAAAAATAAATTAAATAATTAAATTAAATACATATTCGTTACGCGTTAATGCTCTTACCTCATCATCAACTGTACTTGGGTACATTCGTGTTGGCATATTTTTTTCCAAACTGAATTGATCTTCAGTTGTTTTACGATAAACAGGATTATCGAAATTGATTGATGTAAGTGTTCTTCGACTGCAGTGACGATAACCGAAATATGAAAGCTAAATAGAATTCAAACAAAAATAGAAAATTAAAAATAAATTATTGACAAATTATGAAGAATCTGTTAAAAACAAGGTTATAACAGTTTAAAGTATGATGACGTCATAGAGTAATTGATTTTTTTTTTTATTTATTAAGAATTTAAAGCTTAATTTTTGAAAAATTTATTGAGTTGAGGTAAGCTTTTATAAAGTTTTAGTGTGTTCTAATTTAATTTAGCAATTAAATTAGAACACTAATTAAATCCACCTAGCGGTGGATGAAAGAAATATAGAATCTGAAGAGTTAAAAATCGAATGTTATGAAAAATATAATAGAAATTTATATTGTAATTTTTGTAATTTCTTTAAATTTTGTAAATATATTAAAATCAGTTGAGATCATGATAAAAATTACAACTTTATGTTCAATCAGGTTAAAATATTAAAAAAACACTATATCATCTTTTACAAATATAGATCATTTATTTAGACCTTAAACCTTTGTGACAATTTTATATAAAATGAATTTATAAAGTATTTCTAACAAGCTTTATTTATTTTGTTAAATTTTTATTCCTATAAAGAAATTCAATTTCCGGATTATTATGATAAGCAATTGTTATTTTCATTTTATAATGTAGATCATCTAATTTCCATTTTGTTTTAATTTCATACTCTTTGATTATGTGAACCAATAAAATTTGCATTGAAAACATTGCATATCGCCAACCAACACAATTTCGTATTCCTTTTGTAAATGGTATAAAGCTGTAAGGATTTTTATTTTTCATATTTGTACTTAAAAAATTATCAGGATTGAATTCCATTACATTCGGACCCCAAATTTTTTTGCTACGATGCAAATGAAATAAATCAAGAACAATATTAGTTCCTTCAGCTAAAAACAAACCATCTTTTAAAATCATATCTTTTCTAAGTTTACGACCAACTAATGCTACTGTCGAAATAAGACGCATTGTTTCATTTAAAACCATTTCAAGATAAGGCATTTGACGAATGTGATCATATGTTACATCGATATCATCCTCTGGGCAAATAGACATAATTTCTTCATACAATATATCCTGATATTTTGGATTCATAGCTAACAATAATAGGCAATTGTAAAATGTATAAGCTGTTGTTTCATATGCCTTTATATAATTATATTATATTAAATAAAATTAATATTACGAACTTAATTTAATAAAAACAAATATTTAATACCGCAGCAATCATTGTTCCAGCCTCAGAATGAACATCATCCCATGTAAAATCTTTATTGTTATAAAACTCATAAAGTTGATCAATTAAAATATTTCTTCGTTTAGTAATATTCTCATCTTCCATTTTAGAGTTTTTATGAACATCAAGATCGAAACCATTTTCCTTTTTGGCAAGTTTAACAAATCTTGATTTAATAGTCTTTTAATAAAAATAATGCATTAAAGCATTATCAGTTTAATTATTTGACGAAACACAATTCCAAATTACCTCATCGATAAAGCCGTAATAGTCATTTCTAAGTGCTTCAAAATTCTTTCTTATTGGATGAATTGGAAAGGTAAAATCCAAAATTGGATCAAACATTCTTTTAACAATTAAATCTTGTACACTAAATTTCTCAAAAAATAGGATCGAAATTTTAATACTATTTTTTTAATTTGATTAATTGAACAATAAAACTTACGTTCTAACCAAATTAACAAACCATAGGGTAGTTTCACTTTCAAAACTAAGTTGATCATTTCCCATTGTTGTAACTAAAAAATAAATGTAAATTCGAACCGACATTTGAATAAAAAATTTCTGTTACATTTCGAAAAGTTTGAACTTATGTTTTACTTAAAATCCCAAGTATTTAAAAAAAAAAATTGAAAATTATATTTCTGTTCAAAATACTTACTCATTGTAGTATACAAGGTACAAGTTGAAATTTCATCAAAAATGTTACATTCACCTTTTCCAACATACTTTTTAATAATTTTATTTTTAACAATTCTTCCTTGATTATTGAAAACTGGGAAAAAACTTATTAAAGTTTTATGTGTAAATGCTTTATTTATAAATTTTCGATTATGCATCCATTTCTCATCTGAATTTTGAAAATAATATTAACAAAATTATTTTATGCAAATAATTTAATTCTTTTCATTTATTAATAACTTACTTTTCGAAACAAATAATGAATCACCAAGGAAATATTTAAGTGGAATATAAGTGTCCATTTTGGATATTGCATTCTCTGAGCTTAAGATTTGTTCAATTATTTCAGGATCAACCACAAATAGATAAGGTTGTAATCCCAAGAAGAAGAAAAAACAACTTCCATATTCATTTATTAATTTTCCCATAGTGTACAAGAGTTCTAATAAAATTTCCCAATTTGAAAATGTTTAAAAAACGAATCACCATTTTTCAATTTTAACAAATAATCCTAATAAGTATTTTACCATTTTTATTTGTAAAATGTCTTGCTATACCAATAAATGGTAAACCGATAGGACCAGCAATTTTCCATGACATATAATAATATTTTCTACGACTCCACAACCAAGATATAAATATTAATCCAAATGCAGTCCAAAATATGTATGACAAATGCATTTTTTATAATTAATAATTAAAATTTTTCCGACTGTTAATATTTAAAGAACTACGTTTAACAAATGTTAAGATTATTATGAGAGTTTTAATTGCTTTTTCTTAAAAGGTAAACTTTTTAATTTGAATTTTATACACTTTTCTAGATCAAGTTAATAAAATATTATTTTCAATGACAAAAACGCGTGTACGAAAATATTTAAGAAATAAAATTTGAGTTCAGAGATCTAAATTTAATTATTTTGTTTTTTAAAAACAAAAAATTTAATTTCTGTTTTGGACCCCTTTATTAATTTTGCTTAAATTTGATTTTGCTGGTAACTACAAAATTTAGAGCAAACATTTGTACAGTTAAATGAATGAATTTTTCGGAATTCTGCTTTCTAATAAAAATGAATTTTTTAGATATTTTAGGTAAATTAATATGCAAATTATATGGGCTCTTAAATGATCCCAAAAAGAGTTTTAATATTTTCAATGTTATTAAGAGACATTTTATGAGAAAAGGTTATTCCGTTTATTTTAGAAAATTATTAATTTAAACATCTTTCCGTTCTCCATAAAAATTTTTCTTTATACCTCGAATTTTAAATTTATTAACATTAAAATTAATGGTGAAAATTAAATTAACATAAAATAGCAAGTGAAAGCCAAAATATGAAGTTTCCTTTTGCAGAAAATAATTTTTGAACTGCATAAAGGCGAGAATATCTCTACGTTTAACATATACGCAATATTTAATTTTGAAAATATATTTTGAAATTTTTATTAAAAATGAGTATTACATTTAAAATATTTCTGGTAATTCTTGGAATTATTTTTATAAGATGGTTATGGTCTCGAAGAAAATTTTATTATATGGCATATAAATTGTCGGGTCCTATTGGTTTGCCGTTCATTGGTGTTGCGAGACATTTTAAAAATAAAGAAGGTAGTTTGCGATATTTTCTGATTTTAATATCAAGTAAATTTTCTTTTATATATGTAGATATATTGGATGTTATGGGAAATTGGAAAAATATTTTTGGAGATTGTTATTTCTTTTTCTTAGGTACAAAACCATATTTTTCTTTAACTGATCCGGAAATAATTGAACAAATTTTTAATTCTCATGATGCAATACAAAGAACGGAGGATTATAATTCAACAAGAGAATTTCTGGGTGATTCTTTGTTTGTTTCAAAAAGTTAGTCTGTTTTTTTTTTTTTGCTTAATTTTTGGTATTTTAAAATGTTGACAGCGGCTTATAAACTTTTTTTTAGCTAAGAAGTGGACGCACAATCGAAAATTTATTAATAGAGCATTTACGCACAAAACTTTGTTGGGTTTATTTCCAATTTTTAACGATCAAGGGAGAATTGTAACAAATAAAATTATAAAAAAATATGTTGGCAAAGGTGAATGTTGTGTTCTTGATGAAATTTCAACTTGTACCTTGTATACTACAATGAGTAAGTAATTAATATTAATAAAAAAAATTTAAATTGTAATTAAATTGTGATTATTTCTTAGGAATAGTCAATTTATTTGAAAATTCTTAAATAATATTGTTGTGAATCTAAGAAGAAGATTGAAAAGAAAAAATTCTAACGTGTTTATTAAACTAATTTATTTTTTCGATTTTTGAATAAATAGAAACCACAATGGGAAATGAAAATGTTACTTTTGAAAGTGAGACAACCCTCTGGTTTGTTAATTTGGCAAAAACGTAAGATAATTTCAAAATAGCAATAAGTTTTCAATATTTTTTTGATTTTTCAATTATATATTCCAATTTTATATTTGTTCCAATTAAGCATTCAAAACTTGGTTGTTCAAAGGATATTTGATCCAATTTTAGATTTATTTTATCCGATTCATCCAATGAAAAAGAAATTTAATTTTCTTAAAAATGAGTTTTGGTCATTTGCAGATCAGGTTTGAATTCACTTAAGTGTTTAATAACCATACATTTTGAATTATTTAATATTTTTTCAAAAAACTTTAAGGTAATCAAAAACAGATTTGATATACTTGCAAATATAGATAGTAAATTCGATAATGTAACAAAAAGCGAAGACAATAACATTACTAAAAGACATAACATTTTCATTGATCATTTATATGAATTCTACAACAACAATGATTTCACAATGGATGATGTTAGAGCTGAGGCTGCAACAACCATGTTTGCGGTACGTATATTTTTAAGTTTACTTTTGTCATATATTGATTATAGTATTGAATTGAAAAAAAAAACATTTTTCTTATTAGGCATTTGAAACCACTTCTTATACGCTTTACAATTGCCTATTATTGTTAGCTATGAATCCAAAATATCAGGATATATTGTATGAAGAAATAATGTCAGTTTGCCCAGAAAATGATATCGATGTAACATATGATCACATTCGTCAAATGCCTTATCTTGAAATGGTTTTAAATGAAACAATGCGTGTTATTTCAACAGTAGCGTTAGTTGCCCGTGAAGTAACAAATGATATAATATTAAAAGATGGATTTTGTATTCCAAAAGGAACCAATATTGTTGTTGATTTATTTCATTTGCATCGTGATGAAAATATTTGGGGACCAGATTCACTGAAATTTAATCCAGATAATTTTTTGAAAGAAAATATTAAAAATAAAAATTCTTTTAGTTTTATACCATTTACAAAGGGAATACGAAATTGTGTTGGTTGGCGATATGCAATGTTTTCATTGGAAATTTTATTAATACATATTATCAAGAAGTTTAAAGTTAAAACAATGTGGAAATTTGAAGACCTTAAATGTATAATGTCTATAACAATTACTTATAAAAAATATCCGACATTGGAATTTATTAACAGAAACAATAAATAAGCATATGCGTATGTTTAATTATAATAACATTGTAGATTTAATTTTTTAAATGGATTAATAAAGAAAAATTTCTACATGTAAAAAAACAACAGCTCTTAATATTTCATAAACCTTACATTCGTATTTTTCCTAATGAAAAGTGATAAAAGACATTATTGTTAGCACATTTGTAAAATTTGTAAATTTTCTTTAACATATCTCGTTTGTGCGAATAGAGTCAATGAAAAATAAAAATTTTCTATAAAAAGACTACATATTTGTACTTCAATTCTTGATATTAATATGGTGTATGTGCAAATAATCTGTGAATTTAAGTGTATAAAGAGTTAAAGAACTCATGAACTAATTTATGCTCATAAATTGTTTTGAATGTTACGTTTATTATTTCACTGCTATTTTCTTATATTTTATATCGTATGCAAAGTAAACATTAAACTACACAATATTATCTTATAGGTATCTATTATTAACCCGTAGGTCACACGATTTGCCATATATATCATTGAAAACTTTAGAAAGGTTATTCTTTATTATCACATTAATGTGTAATGTATAAAAAATTTACTTGGTTATAGTTTTATTAAAAATAGTTAAATACTATTTTAATATAAGATACTAAAAATATACTTTGTTATATATCAGAATTAGTTATCAGAATTGTGCTCTGCAGTTCCTAAAATTTAATAAAGAATATTTTTAAAATACTCAAGTTATACACACTCAGCATACTTTATATTTTTAACATTATGAAAATTCCCAAATTATTCATTAAAATTGTAAAATAATTTCAAAATTATAAATGAAAAATTCATATTTAAAGCGTTTTGTAATAATTTATGTGTACACGTTGAATTTTAAGCACATAATTAAATTTACATTTAGAATTGTTCAAATACTTGAATTATAGAAAGTACGTGTAAAATGTCCACTTTAACAATTATTTTAGAACAATAAATCACGTTCTGCACACATATACAATAATATACATAAGGAGTATGTATAAAATATACATTTTATACACCATATACACATGATATTCAAATTCCCTCACAAATATTATTTAATCTAATATTATGTTGAAAGAACTTTATTTCATTTATTCAATTTAATGTTAAAATATTTACAATTACCCATACAATTACCCACTAGAGTGTAAAATTCATTGGAAAATTTAATTTCATTATAAATTGTGGAGATATATTGATTATATAATGTGTATACTTACCAATCCTAGGATTAAAAATCCGATTAATAATACGGCTATAACAACTAGTGCTACATATCCTGAATCTGGTTGTTGTGGATGTATAGTTGTACCATCAGGACGTGTACCATTTCCATTTGTATGTAATTCGGCTATTTTGTGATTTGATTAATGTTTTGTTTTTTTATTATTTTATTAGAAAAGGAAAAAAACAAGAAAAAAAATTTAATTCAATTAGTTTTTTTTTTTTTTTTCAGAAAAATTTTTTTTTTAATTTTTGATATTAGTTTTTTATACATTGTTAATAATTGATGCAAATAAGTATTTTGTGATCTAATTTCTAATTTCAAACTACGACAAATTTAGAAGATATTATGTGGAGACTTCAAATACAAAAGGAATTTCATGATACAATAATTACGTATGTAAGTACAATAGTACGATAAAATGTTCCTACGGATTAAAATTCAAACTACTCTAAATTTCAATTTTACATATAATCATACACGTTAATATATAAAGTTATGAGATTTGTACAAAATATCTATTTCATTTATGTTTATTCCATCGCAAAAACCGTCCACTTACAAAGCAAATTTTTTCTAAAACAAACCCATACTTTAATTGTTATTCATTACAGTTGCGTTATTATTTTTCATATATAGCAATGAATATGTAAATAATATATTTCAACAGCATTTATAGTTGAAGTAGATGTATGTATGTAAACAAAAAAGTGTGAATATTCAAAATAATCGTACACAAAATGTAAATATTGTAAATTATTTCAATATTATTGGGAAAACTACTTTAGACAACACAAATATGTATAACCATAAGTGCAAACAACGCAAGCTATTAATAGATGAAATTATTGAAGTTTGCAACTCAAATCTATAAGATGACTTTAGCAATTATTTTTCCACTTGTTCTTTCATTATCTATCATACTCTTCATTATCAAACTCGGTTACTAATTGGAAGAAGTATAATACTGAAATAAAATATGTAATGCAGTAAATTGATTGTTGATCAATGCAGTAATCAACATATCTCAATAAATTTGCCAGCGATCAATTTATCTGAATCCGTTGATCTCGTATAAGAAAGGATGCGATTCATTCAAAATTCATTCAAAATTATTTCTATTCTTAGTTCTCTTCTTTCAAGCATTGAAAAAGATATACCCAGGATCTATCTATTTGTTAAGCCCTTAGCTTTTTTCCATTTTTTAATTCCAAAATATAAATTAATTTTTTACATTATGTAAAATTATGACAATATTTACATTATAAAAGAAAATTTGAAATAATTTTTCAGATATATAATTAAAATGTGCCAACGCTGTATGTCATATAAAACTTTTATACAAAATATGACATACAAAACCTACACGTTTATTGAAAATTTAAAATATGTCAATTGTTTTATAAATACTTAATAAAATTTTAAAATGTATTTTTAGTCAAACAATAAATTAATTATATAGAAAAATGTTAAACAATCTATTTTATAACTTGTTAAAAAATCTACAAAAAGAAAATTCTTCAATACACGTTGTACGAAATTATTTGGATTGCATCTATATAAAAGTAAATAATGTAGTTTAATAACTTACAATGTGTTTATTGGTTTCGATATTGTGGAGTGTTTTAGATGCAATTGAAAATTTATATTAAATGTTGTATAATAACTACGACGGCATTTACACTAAATTGACAAAATTTTGTTAACTATGCTTGAACAATATATTTACTTTAAATTTACAATACTTTGCAAGTTTGAAAGGATATAAGATTTAAACTGTACTAACATTATTCTATTAGAATTAATATTAATAAATGTAAAGTATATAAAATCTAAATATCTTCATAGTTTTCCTTAATAAGTCAGAAAGGAATATGTTATGAGTATATATTAAATCTTGTTTGTTTGTTTTTTAATTCTTTCTTCAAATTAATTAATTAATTACTAGTTTTCATGAATTAAAAGTTTAAATTTGTTCTGTTGGTATAAGCCGAATCCTAACATATCTCGTCTCAAATTCGTTTAAATTTTAAAATGCAAAACAAAGAAACTGTAAACAGCTTTTTATTTAATACGAACTATTTACCCACCCATGTAAATAATTTAACCATAACGTTAATACCGCTTTCATTAATTTCTACTGTTCCCCTAAATGTAAGCAACAAAAGGACATTATGATATTAAAAACTAAATCCTTATTTTTAATGAAGGCGTTTTTGATTAATTACGAGTACAAAATAGATAAAATTTGCTGCTGCTTTGGTCAGACTTCATTAAATTTTAAAGCTCTACCTACATAATATCAGCATTTTTCAACTGACGATTTTCTTAATCTTAAAATTAACTGACGAATTTAGTGAATAATTTTTTGGAATTTATTTTTATTTATGCTATTTCATCAAATTTTATTTTTTCCTATAATTGAACTCATCAGGATTACTTTTTAAAATCAATCACTAATTTGGTGAAAAGCAAAAAACCAAAAAAAAAAAGTAACGTCAGCGATTTTTCAGCTTATAAAAGAAAAATAAGAAAATGTTTCTACATATTTATAAAATGTATAATGCCACATTTTATTTATAAATAAAAAAATATAAGAATAAATTGATTTGAAAATCAAAAATTTATATAATCTTACATGTTGTCACAATACATACATACATAATTAATATACATTTTCAGTTTACGCATATATGCGTATACTAAAGTAAATGCTGGACGTTAACCTGGTTATATCATTGTTATACATTATATATGTACATTCGTAAACATGTTTTGTTTTATTAACCTATTACTATATAGTAGTAAAAATAAATATGTATACATATATATAAATTCATATGTGACTTTCATAAATAATGTTTTTGTCTTACTAATTTTGTAAGTAATAACAGTGTTGCCATTTCAGAAAATCAAATAAAAATTTTAACCAAGAATTTTTAAGAATAATATAAAAAAAGTTTTGGTTTGGAAATCAAATTGATGAAATTATGTGATTTGTCAGGTTATTGTAAACAATTTACTATATTTTCTGACAAAAAGATTAAGAGTTACTTTACAGAAATTCATTAAAAAAAAAAAATTAGAACTGGCATTGTTATAGAAATTTGATAAAACTTTTAATTTCAAAAAAAAAAAAATGAGCTGCCAAAATTGTAAAACCTTTCTTGCTTCCGTTTTCACTCTAATCAAAGTAACGCAACAACACTAGTTGTAATTAAGCTACGTGTGCACATATACGCCCATATATAATGTAAGTTTTAGATATATAAATGTTTTTACATCTAGTATATAATTATAACAATATATGTACATAGATACATACATTATAATATGTATATGTATATTTAGAGTCATCAAATTTATTTTGTCATTTATTGGTGTTTTATTTTATTATTACATATTTTTTTTTTAAGGATATTATAATAAAAATAATAATAATAAGAATAAATGGAAAGTAAATTATTAGAGCTTTATTGTAAAAATACACATACACAAACATATTAGAAATATTACAAGTATACAAATAAAAGAATGAAATCTTATTGAATTTATATATTAAAATATAGACTTAATACAGCTATAAATAAGAAGAATTAATATCATAATATTGTTGTATATAACGTGAAAGTTATTTTTATAAAAAAAAAAATATAAAATTTATTTTCTTAATTTCGATCTATTAGTTTTGTTATATTTTGCCATATTATATTGTATTTGTACATTATTTAAAAGATTTATATAATTTAATAAGAGAAACAGAAATTCTCCTATAATTTTAAGTTGAAATTTATTTGAAAAAATGTGGGATGTAAGAAAATCAATTTGTGTTTTAATATCATAATTATTAATAAAACTTAATTTTATTCGTATATTTTAATATTACTTGATTTTTAAAATATTTTAAAATTCTGAATAGCTTAGAAGTTACAATTTTATTAATTAAAATCAATTTCGACTTTCTCATATTTTGATTCCAATTAACCAATAGCCAAATTTTGGCTCGTTAAATATAGGGCTGGATTTATTATGTTCGAATACGAAAATATAAAAGCATTTAGAGATACGTTTTTATAATTTCTGCAATTTTGCCTTATTTAATATTTTTTTTATAAACACATTTACATATAAAATGTGCACTATAATACAAACGTTCTGATATAGAATAAAAAATTTTAACTTGGAAAAAAAAAATATTTAAAATATACAAAATAAAATGTTGGTAATAAAAGCAAAATAAAACCATAATTCTGATTTTTTCCAAAGGAAACCAAAAATCGATACAAAATTTATTTAAAAAGACTATTCATTCCTGCTTTATATAGGAACATATATACATAGCACATATATATAGCATCTATAGAATTTCATTATAAAAAAACGTTGATAAAATTTTTTTTTTTTTTTCAACATTTTCCACCGAAATTTTAATAATCTATACAATAAATTTTTAAATAGAATTTAAAGCGTATTTTGTTTTTTTTTTATTCAAATTTTATTCACGTTTTAAATGTTGTAATGGTATTTCGATTCCCGAGGCTATAAAAAATTATTTGCATTTTTTCCTTTTTCAATTCTTGTAAATTACTCTAGAATGAATTTTTTTTTTATAATTTATGTATATAAAGCAAAAAAATGTAAAATATTATAAAAAAGAAAAAAAAACCTGTCGGAAAATACCGATTAAAATTGCATATTTTTAGTGTCGAATTGAAATAATTTTACGAAAAATAAAATTGTAAATTGATCACTTTTTAAAGTCAAATATGTAAAATATTTGATTTTATTGATGATGTTATAAAATTCAAAAGTGAAACTTTTTCGAATTCGGAAATTTTTTCTTACCAATTTCAAATTGAAAACTAAATTCATTTAATTATAATTATAAGAACGCATATTTTTCTAAATTGCAAGTTTTCGCCAATTTTAATAATTGGAGAATATAGTACGCATATTTGGGGTATACTTATATGTACAAAGTACGAGTACCTATGTATAATATTGTTCTTTAATATTTTCTCAAATTGTTCTATTAGATTCTTCATCTTTATACGAGTATATAATAAATAATACGATAAAACTTCTGTTATAAGAGCATTGCAATTTAAATTCTCATTTTATCTTTG